CTACTCCCACCCCCCTCACACCCCGTCAGGGGGCCGCCGGCCGACATTTCACTCTCTCCTGTTAACACCCCGCCGGGTCCTGGCCGAGCCCCCGACCCCTCTCCTTTCTCCCTCTCCGTTCGGTTGCTCCTGCCTTTTCCTTTTCCCCTCCAGCAGCAGCAGCGCCGCGCCCTGTCCTCCTCGCTGACCCTTGCCAGCCTTAGCCCCACCGTCAGCAACAATGTCCACAACTATGTTCGCGCTGCCTCCCGTAACAGGCTTTGCGATCTAAAAAATAGTGTCCCGCCGCGATGCGTCTGCAAAGGTCTGTTCGGCCTGTTGCTTTAGCGTTGGCCCTGCTCTCTCGCCGCATTGTTTTTTGCTTCAACGTTTTTTGTTAAATTGGTCACATTTAACCTATTGCTAACTCTCCCAATTCTGCACGACAATGTTTCATAGAAAATGACAGGAAGTTGATCGCCAATATTTGCCCCTGGTTGTTGCAGAGATCGTGGGCGCGCACAAGGACGGCCTGATCGCGTCGCTGATCGGCGTGGAGGGCGGCCACTCGCTGGGCTCCTCGCTGGCCGTGCTGCGTGCGCTGTACGACCTGGGGGTGCGCTACCTCACCCTCACGCACACCTGTGACACACCGTGGTGAGTTACCATATCGATTGCCAAATTGCTGCACTCGGCGAGACCTAGGCACCTGAAAAATTACGGAATATGGATTACTACACTGTAAAAAATATGAAGAAAATTCTGAACCCATTGGTTCTTGAACTTTCCAGTCACCAGCAAGGTATTTTAATTCCCAACCCACTAGACTAGGCAATGCTAATCCTCGATCCAACTCGAGGTTTTCAAGTCCATTTGGAATTGTAGAATTGGAATTGTGATGTTGAAAATTCCATTCTACCTACAGAAAATTAGAAGTTGGCTTCAGTTTTATAATTTACTAAGCCACAACTTGAATTCCTATGGTACATGGAACTGGGATTTTCCAGTTTGAGCCACTGATTCGGTATTCGGTATTCCGCAGGGCGGAATATCCGGACCCATAAACTGTAAATGTAATTCCTAGTGCCAAAACTTGAATTTCAGACGTTCTACTGGGGCAACGCTTACATTAAGTGGGTCGTCAGCCACTCGCTTGTCAAGGAGCGCTGTGTAGCTTAGGGGTACAGAGCAGGACTGGGAACTTATAGGCCTATGTTCAACTCCACCTTGGGGCAATTTTTTTTTATCGGTTCAAAGTGGTCGACATGAGACTAGGTCCAATCCCGATGCCACAACTTGAATTTTCAAGTTGTGGGTTTCGAAACAGAAATCCCGATGCCACAACTTGAATTTTACTAGTTGGGTGCTATATTTCCGATTACAAGCCCACTGGGTTCAGGAAAACCCGATTAAATTGGTTACGGAAATTTAACCCTCCATGGCTTAGCAATTTCCCGACTCCACGACTGAGAACCGAGCGTTTCACAGCCCAAAACTGGGATTTTCTTAATTTTTTTTTAACAGTGTAACTTTTGGAGATATGCAGGTAAAGGTTAGCGGTGTAGTTCAACCGTTTTTCTCTAGAACTACGGTTAGTGGTACAGTTAACCATTTATTTTTGTACAGCTCCGAAAATTGGTAGTCCATTTACAGCTGATATGTTTTAGCTGCAATTAGTTCTGTTTCTAAGTGTGCTTATTTTTTTTACCTCAATTGTTTCGCATACTTTTTGTTTAACATCGTGCCTCTTTTTCTTCCTAGGGCCGAGACGACCTCGCCTCAGCCTCCCGGTACGAACCGGACAAAGGGACTCACAGAATTCGGGAAGGTTAGATATTTATCACTTAATTAATATGCGTACTCTAAAATGAAAAGTAGCTCGACTTAGCTCGTCTTACTTGCTTATTTCTGTGCCAGATGGTGGTCCGCGAGATGAACCGCCTGGGCATGATGGTGGACCTGTCCCACACCTCGGTGCGCACCATGCGCGACGCGCTGGCCGTGTCCAAGGCACCCATCATCTTCAGCCACTCGTCGGCCTGGGCCGTGTGCAACTCGTCCCGGAACGTCCCGGACGACGTCCTCGACAAAGTGGTGAGTTTGTGCTGTGTGGCACCTCTAAGGTCGCCGTTCCCACCGATTACGTGAGTTACTTAGCGTGTGCCGCTTTTGTCTTTGCAGAAGGAGAATGGCGGCATCGTCATGGTCACCTTCTACAACTACTTCGTCACCTGCGGGGAGACAGCGCGTGTTTCCGACGTAGCAGGTGAGCCCCACGACCGGGTGACACAGGGTGTCGCCCCTGCCTCTCCCCGGACTCCCTTTCACATCCTCACAGCAACGCTGCTGGTCCGACCACTATATATATAAACCCGGAATTTTCGCTTGCACCGGCAAAAGGCCACCGTCTTCTATCTGGCGAGGGCCACAACAGGACCCCCCTCCTCGCCCCCCTCCGTCATATTATCAGGGCGCCCCCTGTCCGCCCCGGCCTGGCCGCCGGGGCGGCGGGTCTGGCGAGCTCCTCGGCCACCACCACCACCGCCTTGGTGGGCCCGGTGGGCCAGTCCACGACCCTCCCAGCCTTAATAACGCCCCTCCCGTCCCGCTCCCCAGGGCAGCAGGCTGCCCGGCCGGGGCGGCGAGGCCGGCCTAGCCGAGCCGAAAGCAGGCCCGTGTGCTGGAAATATGAAAAACGTTGCAGGGCAGCTCGAGAGGGGACGAGAGGCAGGCGCAGAGCGACACCCCTGCTCCACCGCTTGCTTTAGCCTAGTTCCAGCTCAATGAGTATTCATGCAGACTCCGAGGTGTAGGTGTGCTTCAGTAGTAGAGTGCCCGTGCGCCCAGAAAAAGTTCTAGTGACCGTCGCATGGTTACTTCAGGAGAAAAATGTAAAATGTGTTGTTTAAGCAACAGCAGCACAGGTGTATCAACCAAAAAATACGGTTTTCACCTGTTTTCACCTCTGGCGATCATATTCCTTCAGCTATACTTCATGGTTATCCTCGCTCATAATATCTGTTTTTTTGAGAACTTGGTATAAGGGAAAGTACGAGGAGCTCCCAAATTTGAGGAAAACACTCTTGGATATATTTAAGTATATGTAAAGTATAAAAAATTTCATGAGAAGTGTTCCCCAAATTACGGGTACGGGGATTCCTCAAAGTATCCCTCTCTTCCTAAAAAAATCGCAGACATTGTTTTTACCGTGTGAAGGAACCATACTAATACGATGGTTGTCACCTTTCTGAGAGAACGCGATGTGCACGGCTGTCTGTCGGGTGCTTGTGCGGCTTCGGTGAACAGGAAGTAGAGTAGATAATGTCGCCTTGTGCGTCGGCCGGTGTGTCCCGCTCTTGCTCGCCGCCGCCGTGGACCTGACACAATGGCACACAGTGTGCACAGTGGTGTGTGTGGGTGGGGGAGCCTGGAGAAGTTGTTCTCCATCCACTGCGCTGCCGCCGCTTCCTTGTGTAATCCCTCCTCGGGGCCGCCGCCCAGTCTGGGCCCGCGGGTCCGCCTCCGGCCGGCCGGCCGGTCGGTCTGTATCAGGCCGGAGGGGGGCTGGGGGCGGGCTGTGGACGGGCCGGAGGAGGGCCGGGGACGACACCATACGGGCAACGCGTGATGAGAAAAGTCTGCTTCGTGATCGAAATTTATTTCAGAAGTACATCACCCGAGACCCCGCGGCGTCGGGTCGAAAAAGCGCAAATGTCGTAAAATAGGAAGAAGGAAAAAAAAAAAAAAATTGAACTAGGAAGATATTTACCTCATGAATCTCCCAGCTATCCCTCTGAGCAGGGTTGAAAACAGAGTGGCGCGCGAACTGCTAGTTTTTTTTTCCGCTCTGCATTTTCCGCTTGGCGCATCTTTGTTATTGTTGTTGTTTTTGAATGCTAATTCGCAGGAATGGCGTGCGATACGCGAGAGTTTGCGCGGAGGAGGCTGGGCGGCGCTGCCGGGGCTGCCCTCGGCGCGCATTACGCTCTGTAGGCCCATATACAATTTGCTAAATGGGTTAGAGGAGCTAAACACTCCTTGGGCTCCCACAAGAGACACCCCCTGCCGCGCCCCTCGCGCCTGTGTGTGGGAGAGAGCGCCAGACCGAAACTTCTTGCTGGCGCCGAGGTGGAACGTTGGGGGGCGGCGCAGGGGGGAAGGCGGGGAAGTGAGATGGACGTCGTAGAGGTGCGGCCGCAGCCCTGTGCGACCGTGATGATCGCGGTGGAAAGCCCTGCCTCGCCCGGCCTCGCCCGGCCTCGCCCGCGGTCTGGCCAAGATGTTTCAAGCAGCCACTCCCCCCCTGCCCGCGACCGCTTACTCCTGCACCTTCCATTAAAACTCTCTGTTCCTCCTAAAACTCACATTTCCTTGCACGTTTCTGAGTGTGCAGGGTGTGCGTGGTAGACTGTTGGGTTTACAGCGTTTTCAGTGTTGGGTGGTGATTGATGACCAGCGTGTCTCGTGTCTCAAAAATTTTTCGACGTCAAATTTTTCGGAGTGGCGGAACCCAAGGTTGTAGCGCGTTGGCTGAGCTGCGAATTCGCCGCTCTCCGAACAAAGGCGAAAATGGCGGACAAAGAGGACAAAGGGAGGATCGTGCCTTCTCCAGGCTCAACCTCAACTCGACCCTTCCTCCGCGGAGGAGTCCCCCCCCCCCCTCCCTTCGTCCATACTCCCGGCCATGGTCCTTTTGCAGCGCGCCACCACGGCGTTATTCTTGGGGAGGAGGAAAAAGGGAGAGGAGGTAAAGGAAGGGGAGCAGGCGAGCGAAAGAAAAACGTGCAGCCCTTTCCATGTCGGGGCGCCCTGGCCGGGCTTATCAATCTGCACGACAAGACAACGGCCAAAAGGGTTTAGCGGGATGCGTTCGGCCGCGGCGCGTTAGGGGGAGCGGAGGGGGGTGGCGGCCGTCCGTGGAATGTTGCCAGCGGAAGGCTGCCCCGTCCCGTGACAAGCGCTCCCAGTACTGCAGGAGGATACTCCCCAGATCATTCCTATCTCCCTCTCTCCTTGTTTTCTTTTCTCCCTCCCCTCCCACTCTCCTCTCAATCCCACACGTACACTATGCGCAATCGTTCTTTCCCTTGCCGCCGATTTTTTTCCCCTCCTCCTCCCAGCCCCGGGGTTGCGCAGGGCGTGACTCTCTTTCTACTCACTGCTCTACTGCCCCCTGCGCCTCACCCCCCCCCCCTTTTCCCCCTTCTCCTCTTTCCCCTCATCTCCGCCGCGCCATCTTTAGTGAAGCTTATTGTCTTCCTCATTTCCGGCGGACTCCAAAGGCGTTGTGCCCCTCCCCTTCCTCCCCATCCTCGACGAGAAGTCCGCGCGGCGCACTTAGTCTCTCCCCCCTCCCCCTACCCCGGTGCTCAGCGGCAGAGGGGCTGGCGGGGCGGCCTCTAATGCGCCGGAGCAGCCTGCGTCTGTTAATTGTTGTGAACATCCTACAACGCAAATTATCAAGTGATAAATGGAAGTTGTTGCGCTGCGCTGTGAGTAGTTGGCGTGGCGTGGAGGAGCCAGCGAATCCGCTTTGAAGGCGGTCGCGGAGCACTGCTCACAGAGACGGCGGGTCGACGGGTCGGGCCAACCGAGGACCAGCTGAGCTGACACGGACCGTGTTGTCTGATACGAAACATAAAGTTGTATATACAGTCAAATTTTCGTGACGGATCTTGAAGCCTGTTATTCTAGACTTTTGTTTGACCCATATACACGTAGTATTCCACCTCCTTGCGAGTTTGCAGCTGTGCTTTGTTTTTAAAATGGGTAAACGTCACCGAGTAAAATTTGTCATTAGACGCGTCGAGCTATTTTTTATTTTTACAGTGGTGTAGGCGAGCCGTTTGTACGGATGACCAGGTAGCAAACAAGGCAGAAAGGAAATAATGGGGGACGGAAATAGGAAAAGAGACAGGGAAAATAAGTGAGCACCTTGCGGGCGTCTGCTATTAAGACTGGGAGGGATATTCTTCTTTTTTTCTGTATGCGCTAAGTGATAAACAGTTGTGCTTGTGTACATTCTTTTATGTTTGCGCCTCTGGTGATAATGGTTACTCTGCGGATCGTTTCTCTCTTTGTGCCCCATTTTACAAAAAATAATACTTTACCGTAACCTTATTTTTTCCTCAACAACAAAGTATGCGTGTCCTCGTACCGGAAGCGCTCGTCATGACAGTTGTTACACACTTGACGGTGTGCTACGACGTGTTCTTGCAGGCGATGGCAACAGGTGCGGTCGTGATGATGTGCCATGATTCACCTCTCTCCCCGCCCCGCGCCGCGCGTTGGCTAGGCGTTAGCTAGTTCCGCTCAGCTCCACTCGCCCTCCCCGAAAAAGTTGCAAATGAGACACTTTTGGTGACTGATGGTGATGACGGCGACCGCTGCAGCCCGCAAGCAACACACAACACACAAAAGAGCGCCCCGCGCCGTGTGACGACCGTTTCTCCCATAGTTATGCTTTGCGTGTTAAACACAAAAGATTTGCCTGGGGGGAGAGGGGACGCTGTCCTGTCATGATCATTTCAATGGAATTTTTATTGAATGTAAGGCACTGAAACGCTCGTAACACTTTCTCCGCACGGCCCCTCCCACCTCTTCTCTGCCCGCGTTGCACTACACTAGCGGCTCAGTGCCACTGCCAGACCAGCGCCAGCGCCCCCCAGCTCCGGCCTTTCCTCCTGCGCCATTCTGTTCTTTTACAAGCCAGCACCCCCCTTCCACTGCACCCCCACTCCCCCGGTCTTCCGCCCCTGGTCCTTCTTCTTACTTTTATTACGGGAAAGCAAGCATCCGCGAAACCATCGCCCCCCCTTTTTTCGGACTGGTGATCTGCTTTGTCTCAGCC